GAAGCCTTATCAACACAGACTGGCTTCATTCACTTCCTCCACTGCGGTATGCTAAAATAACTAGCAGACACTGCGCAGAAAATCGATGTTCTGTTCTCTGATTGGCCCAGGTAAAATAAACTACAAGCTGACACTGCGCAGAAAAATAGACGTTTTGTTCTCTGATTGGTTCGGCTAAAAATCTGCCAGCGAAATCCTTCTTTATGGGAGAAGTCCCAGACGGAGCAGAGAAGCGATACTAGAATTGAGCGGAGCTGCGTAGGAAGGCAAGGGCCAGGATATATCTGCACCAATCCAGAAACATTCTACAACTTGACATCTTTTCAAAGTTGCCAACTACCTTTGTTTTGATACATTTAAGGAAATAAAATACATTTTCTCTTCCTTCAATCTCCTCAAGCACACAGTCAAACTCAAAACACCTGAAACTCTCAGACTGAAGAAGTCTCTTGGARGAGAGACGAAACGTTTCATTAAAGAAGAACCCGTCCAGAGGAACTACTTATTTCTCTTTGTGTTTACAACAGAAAATTCACTTACACTTTAGCAATTTTTCCTGTGTCTTCAGGATTTTTATCCCACTAATGAGTCCTGGCAGGGTCGGCTCGGTGAAGTACCATCTTCAGATTCTTTATAATGTTAACACAAACAGCAGAAAACATCAGAAACGTGCACATTGCAGTCACAAACAGTTGGTTTATAATGAGGACCAGTTTTGTTTGCTCTAAATGACGTTTTATTTTAGAATAAAAAAATCAACTTGGAGCAGTCAGGCTTGCAGAGCCCTCGGGCCGCCGTTGATGATAAATGTGTTGCTGAGGAAGAGAGGACACCTACAACGGCTGCTGCTGTATGACTTAGCAGTAATTGGACGGCTGCTAGCATTGTGCTTCAAGTGGTCATTGATTACAGYAGCAGTCATTTATCTTTAACAAGAATAGGACACGTCACAGCGACTTGTGCTTCTGCTCCAGTCAGGAGTGTACAAGAAGCTCACAGGAAGCTGTTGGGGACAAGACACACACTTTAGAAATGGGAAATGTGTGTGTGTGTGTGAAAGCCTGGAGTGTTTGCTGTGGAAGTATAGACTGACAGGTCAAGAAGGCAACAATGAATCACAGACACGCCCTCTTTTTTCAGCTCAGTGAGTAAATACAGGGTTCCAGCTGATCCTTAAAAACTCTGAAAAGTCATTGAATTCATCAGTCCAAAGATAAGGCCTTAATTAGCTTTATTTTTTAAATTTTAAGGCATTAATTGGCCATATTTTTAACATTTTAAGGCCTTAATTAGCAGTATTTATAACATTTTAAGGTCTTAATTAGCAGTATTTATAACATTTTAAGG